TGATCAAACCGTACCTCTCTTCAATTATCAACGCTTCATCGCAAGAAAAGCAAAACGATTCGAACCAGCTGCATGGATCGCCTACGATAGAGCTTTTCATCTAAACGCCTCAAGATTTCACGGCCAAATAAATTGGAGTTACGTTAATAACGAGCTTGACTACGAATGCTTTCAGAACTCTAGTCACTTAATCCTGTCAGAAATGCTTCACTTGCGGCAAACATGGTCACCAACAAAAAGATTGCTTCAAAAACAAACAGCGTTCTAATCCCTACACATGGACCAGCGGACATGCTCCTAACACGCATGCCCGACAAACCAGTCAACAACAACAAACTTGCAGAGATTATAATAGAGGGTGCTGTTCCGACCCATGTCAAAATGGCCGCCTACATCAATGTAGCATTTGTTATTCCGGGAATCACGTTGCGCAATTCCATCAAAACCAAGATAACCAGTTTTTCTCGTGGCGCAATCAACTCAACAAACCAACAAGGACCTACACCACAGCCATTTCGCGGGAATGATAAAACCTATTAAATTTGTGGATTCCCTTTTTCCTACGACATCGCTCAATCAAGAGGTTTTTGCACACGAACTTCATAAACATCCTAATAAACAATTCACGGCGTCCGTTATTTTAGACATTTCCAGAGGTGCAGACTTGGGTTTTTCAGGAAGCCAACATGCTCGTTCAACAAAAACCGCAAAGTCAGCCTACACGAATCCACAAATCATTACAGACTCCATCATTAAGGAAATTGGTGCAGGACACGCGGTAGGTCCATTTATTTAACCTCCTTTTCCCAACTTCGTTGTCAACTTCTTGGGGTTGCGACCAAAGTAAAATGGGGGTCATCGAATTATAATGGACTTATCTCAACCAATTTCTGACAGCGTCAATGACAACATTTGCAAAGAGGATTTCTCGCTCCACTACACGACAGTTGACGATGCCGTTAGCATGATCAATCAATTTGGATCCGCTACCCAGCTTGCTAAAGTTGACATACAACACGCATTTCGCTTGTGTCCTGTCAGACGTGAAGATTGGCATCTCCTAGTTACAAGTGGAATGG